TATATGCCACCAAAAATACCGACATTGGGATTTGCGACTACATAGGCTTGCCTTTCGGTGTATCCACTACTTCAGCAATTTTGGAAAGCATTACGGACAACATGCTGAACTGAAATTCCACCCGTATATGTCTGTCTGGATGACATATTGATAGCAGATGAGTCTTCTAAGGAACACTTAAAGTCGTTAGAGACCGTACTGTGTCGCTTGCCCGAATGCAGTGTCAAACGAGAGAAATGTCAGTTTAATAAACATCGATGTCACATACCTGAGACATGAGATCGATGCAGAGCGCATGCATCTGCTAGAAGACAGGGTAGATTGTATTGCAAAAGATTGCTCTACCTAAAGTTATCATGGAACTAAAGTCATCCCCCGGGCTGCTAATTTTTTATGTGCTGTTTTTCCAAAATCTCTCAACAGCACAGGGCTTAATGCGTTTTGACCAGGAATAATCGTACTACGCCCGTCATGGCCAGGCATATATAGTCATGTATACCTTGAGATCCTGTACTGACCCGACTGTTAGAGCTCGTACAGACAGCTTGATCAGACAAGGATTTTGCAGAGGCTCTGTGACCTCATGCAGCCAGAAAGAATTAACATAGCGTATGTACACGGGTTACCTACTCGGAAAAACCCGAGTTATTACACCGCCACAAGAACACATGATATAGATAAGTTACGTGAAACACACGCAGCGATTCAGAAATTCAAATTGAAAGAGTTTATAGTGGAGGAAACATGACCTCTGTCCTATATAATTAGGCTGATAGGCGAAGGTATCGTTCGTAGACATTAGGATTATGTTCTTTGCCGGCAATGTGGTGTTTAGGCTCAGGAAGACTCTGAACCTGTTCCAGGTACACTAGATACCAGTGTGACTTAAGATAGAATGCCGGGTGCTAATGCTCCACCGTTGTCACAGCCTGTAAAACCCCCTCCGGGATCAGCAAGCCAGGACATGAGATCAAGCTCAACAGAGCTTAAGTTAACCCCTGCTTTGATTCGGTTTAAATATTAATATTGGTTCCTGCAGTGCCCATGAGATCGCGTAGAAATGCAGTTTCTCATGACGGATTGATTATTTTATAGATTCATATTTCTTTCTTGATAGGCTCAATTTAGTTGTAGGGAGAAACGGAGTTATGTTTCTTTATTGCACGAAATAATTCAGTATCGCAGTCTTTTAATTTAGTATAATGTACCTGGCTCAACGAATTTGGTCGGAGATCGGGTTCTGTACAAATAATTGCGTACACAAGAATAGATTTTCATTATTACCAAAATGAAATGAGGGGAAATGTACTGTACGTTGATCTACTGTTACACGCCAATACGTGGCACAATGCGCATTATAACACATGTCTCATTATTAAATATATGGTCAGCTCGTGGCATCGTGGTTTTTGAGAGGTGGCTTCATTGAATTTGTACTGTATGACATAACAGAACATGAAAGTATAACGCACGCACCGTTCATAACACCACGATCGTCCGCGTCATAGCGTTACCAAAAATACCGACATTGGGATTTACGACAACAAAGGCTTGCCTTTCGGTGTATCCACTACTCCAGTAATTTTGGAAAACATTACGGACAACATGCTGAACTAAAATTCCATCCGTATATGTCTGTCTGCATGACATATTGATAGCAGATGAGTCTTTTAAGGAACAATTGAAGTTGTTAGGCGCAGTACTGGGTCGCCTGCTCGAATGCAGTGTCAAACGAGAGAAATGTCAATTTAATAAACATCGACATACATGAGACATGAGATCGATGCAGAGCGCATGCATCTGCTAGAAAACAGGGTAGATTGTATTGCAAAAGATTGCTCTTCCTAAAGTCATCATAGAACTAAAGTCATCCCCCGGGCTGCTAATTTTTTATGTGCGGTTTTTCCAAAATCTCGCAACTCTAGTTGCAACTCCATGAATCGCTTATTGAGGAAGCAATCTGCCTAGGAATAGGGTTCCTTGCAGAGCCAGACATTTAAAAAGACAGAAAAGATGCTTCAGGGCTTTATGCGTTTTTACCAGGAATAGGAGTTGCTGTTGGCCTGTGATGCATCGCTATATTACGTCACGCTCTCACTGTTTATTGCCGAGTCGAGGTACCCCCAATAAGACAAGGATGCGTTTGTTATAGTTTACAGAGTCGAACATTATCATCAATACATCATTGGCCGTCACTTCGGCATGGTGACGTATCACATGCCCCTGCTGCGGTTGTTTGGCGTACACGGGCGCACATTACACGTGGTGTCTACTCTTGTTTAGCACAAGTAACACACATTGGGAGACTATTCATATACACGAGAATCCTGAACTGGCGAAGCTCACGAGAATAATGTTGCTCTAAGCAGGTTGACATTGCTACAGCATCCAGCCGAGCTTCCTGTGCTAGGATATGTAGTTTTCCTAACGAAACATTTAACTCGTACTACGCCCGTCACGGCTAGGCATATATAGTCATATATACCTTGAGATCTTGTACTGACCCGACTGTTACAGCTCGTACAGACAGCTTGATCAGACAAGGATTTTGCAGAGGCTCTGTGACCTCATGCAGCCAGAAAGAATTAACATAGTGTATGTAAAAGGGTTACCTACTCTGAGAAACCCGAGTCATTACACCGCCACAAGCACAAATGATATAGAAAAGTTACGTGAAACACACGCAGCGATTCAGAAATTGAAATTGAAATAGTTTATAGTGGAGGAAACATGACTTCTGTCCTATATGATTAACATGATAGGCGAAGGTATCGTTCGTAGACATTAGGATTATGTTCTCCGCCGGCAATGTGATGATGAGGCTCGGGAAGACTCTTAACCTGTTCCAGGTACACTAGATACCAGTGTGACTTGAGATGGAATGCCTGGTGCTAAAGCTCCACCGTTACCACAGGCTGTAAAACCCCCTCCGGGATTAGCAAGCCAGGACATAAGCTCAAGCTCAACAGAGCTTAAGTTAACCCCTGCTTTGATTCCGTTCAAATCTTAATATTGATTCCGGCTGTGTCCACGAGATCGCGCAAATGCAGTTTCTCATGATAGATTGATCATTTTATAGATTCATATTTCTTCCTTGATAGGCTCAATTTAGTTGTAGAGAGAAACGGAGTTATGTTTTTTCATTGCACGAAATAATTCAGTTCCGAAGTTTTTTAATGTAGTATAATGTACCTGGCTCAGAGAATTTGGTCGGAGATCGGGTTCTGTACAAATAATTGCGTACACAAGAATAGATTTTCATTATTACCAAAATGAAATGAGAAGAAATGTACTGTACGTTGATCTACTGTTACACGCCAATACGTGGCACAATGCGCAATATAACACTTGTCTCATTATTAAATATATGGTCAGCTCGTGGCATCATGGTTTTTGAAAGATGGCTTCATTGAATTTGTACTGTATGACATAACAGAACATGAAAATATAACGCACGCACCGTTCATAACACCACGATCGTCCGCGTCATAGCGTTGCAGCACATAGTGGAATGGTCGCGCCGCCGTATGCTCGCCCTGGTTGAGAAATGCCTCCCTTGCTAGCTCCACATCGTTGACGACAACAGTAAACTGAAACATATTTGTATATGTATGTATGTATGTATGTATGTATGTATGTATGTATGTATGTATGTATGTATGTATGTATGTATGTATGTATGTATGTATGTATGTATTGTATGTATGTAGTAATGTATGTTATGTATGTATGGTATGTATGTATGTATTGTATGTATGTATGATGTATGTATGTATGTATGTATGATTATGTATGTAGATGGATACATAGCTAGACGGATAGATGGATGGATGGACAGATGGATAAAGGGATAGGTGGATAGATGGATAGATGGATAAATGGATATATGGATTGAAGATTTATAAAATAGATGGATGGGTTAATAGAGGATAGATAGATAGATAGATAGATAGATAGATGAATAGATAGATAGTAGATAGATAGATAGATAGATAGATAGATAGATAGATAGATAGATAGATAGATAGATAGATAGATAGATAGATTAATAGATAGATAGATTAGATAGATAGATAGATAGATAGATAGATAGTAGAGGGTAGATGAATAGATGAATTAATTGCTAAATAGATGGAGGATAAATAGAGAGAAAGAGAGATTGATACATAAATAGATAAATAGATAAATAGGTATATAGATAGATTT